GCCTGGCTTAGAAAACTTTCCCACAATGCTTTGCTATATCTCTATCATGGAACTCTGATCGCTCTTTGGGTTCGTCCTTCACCAGATGGTGAGCTCTTGGGGTATCTTACTCCTTATGACCAGCACAATAGATATTGGTTAAATGAGGGAATATTGAGGTGTCTCTCATAACAGCAAAACGAATGGAAAACAGCAAAATCAACTGCTGGTATTTTATTTTCTGGTGTAGAGAAGAACAAGATTCCTTGTTAGATCAGCTAATCTAATAAGCAGAGAAAAAGAACATTCTCGTGAAATGACGCATTCACCTTCTCTTTCCATTCGCTGGCATAGAGAATCATCTAATTGGACTTCTTCTTGGGGATCGAAGGCAAATGGGCCCATTGCTGTCATATTTCCATTAAGGCCATTGTCCACCTGCCTCCCTCAGTTCTCTCAAAGGACCTGTGACTGCCAGCCCCTTTTAGATTAGACACACATCTCAGGAAGCCTCGAGTGAGCACCTTTTCAGTTTCATCCATGGCTCCAGAGCAGGACGGACATGCGACGTGCACTGTGATTGAGAAAGGATGGCCCCCGATGAAAAGGGAACGTTTCCGCAGCGTTCTCCTCGAATTTGGTCGTTCGCTCATCCATCTGTCCACCTAGCATCCATCAGTCCATTCATTCTTTATTCCACGAAACACATTACCTGGCGTTTACCACAGCGCCTGCAGCAGACACTCAGGAAGTGTCTTTTGACCAGCTTGTAAAGGTGAATAGCACAAGCTCTGAAGCAAAACCACCACGTGATGCCATACATGGTGTGACTTTGGGTGGGTCACTTAGCCTCCCTGTATCCTGGTTTCCCTGTTGAAATTGGGTAAAAAGTGGCATTGAACTCACCGAGCTAGATATTAGGTACTATCAGAATTAAATGAGATACATGTAATGGGCTTAGCAAGTGCCTGGGCTAGGGGTGGGGCCACATGATGAGCAAGGAGAAAAAGAAAAATTTAATATATTCTTGAGGGAGATGTAGATAAATAAGTAAAAGGTGAATAAATAAAATAGGAAATCGAAGGGGTTCCATGATGTGGGGAGCAGGGGAGGCCATTTTCGATAAGATGATCAGGAAAGTCCCCTCTGCAAAGGGGGGTACCTGAAGGGTGACCAGCCACGTCGAGAATGTTCCAGGCATCGGGAGGATAGCAAATGCAGATGCAAAGGCCCTAAATGGGATAGGGGGCGGAACGTTCTAGAATGAGCCAGAGGCAGTGTTGGTGGGGAGAGAGTGAGCCGCAGACAGGGAAGGCACGAGGTGTCGGGAGGTGATGTCGTGAGCACCTGGGAGACTGTGGAAGGCGTTGGAGTTTCAGTCCAGTGGGAAAGTGTTGGGGAGTTTCGGAGGGGAGTGGTGATGCCACAGTAGGGCCCACACAGCCCCGTCACTCCCTGGGGCTCTTCACAGCCTGGCACAGAGAGGAAACCGGAGCCGAGGGCGGGGTGGGCCTGCCCCCGGCCTGCTCCACGGAGCCCGCCCCGTGGAAGCACAGGACTCGTGGGAGTGAGCGTTGGAGAGCTCAGGCCATCCAGGTCCCTCCGTCTCTCATCCCAGAGGCCCGTGTGCCTGAAGCTCGGCTCCCCCAATGCTGCAGCGGAGGCCAGGGAGCCTGAGCATCCATCCTTACTAGATGCCACCCTCTGCTCTGACCCGCGCAGGGTGTGTTACTCACCCGAGCCAAACGCCAAGGCGTCTGTCCCAGACTGTGAAAAAAAAACTCACAAAGGAGCACATCATGCGCGTCTCAGCCACAGGGGGACGCGCTCGGGCTGGACTCAGAAGCCCCCATTTCACCCTCTTTTAGTGAAAGGAAACATGCGATAGTACTTAAGAACTCTCTAGAGCTGAAAGTATGACTGTGGCTGGATTTCTGGTTAAGCCACATTCGGATAACAATGACGAGCGATAGGTTTTTTAAGGTAGAAGTAGCCATGGGTCTTTGTGTTGAGTCACGTTTTCAAACCATATCGTTAATTTTATTGCCGTCGAATCCCCCACATCCCTCTCATCCACAGCTTTGCTGACCTCTGTCCACCAAAAGGCCATCTTCTCACGCATAGGCCGAGCGTCCAAATGTCCTCCTGGGACATCCACCTACACCGGCTTCACTTAGAAAGCCTTGACATTCTCTCTCTCTGTTCTACAAATTCCTACATGCATCGCTCCTGTCAGATTAGGTGTTTGCATGCCTTGTTCGTTCAAAATAAAGCACAGTTAAGACCAGAAATTACTAAAGTTTAATAATATATGAGATAGATAAATAAAATATTAAATTTTTCATGAATAGCAAATAATATAAGTAATAATGACATAATTGGCATTATATTAAATTTTTCTTTTTCTCCTTTTTCTGCGATTGTAAAGCTGACCAAGTCCCCTCCTTCCCCGGGATCACGGAGGCCACCACGGGTCCCGCCTCCACAGGGCGAGAGCTCCCGGCTCCTCCTTGCTGTCCCTGTGCTCTGTGCGCCCTTCCACCTGCTCCTCAGCAGCTTCGCCCCTGTCCCTCTCTGTGGCCATTTCCCTGGCTTGTCCCTTAGGTGACCCACTCCCCGCAAGGCCCCACCTTCTGACTTCCCATCCCGTCTCTCTGCTGCCAACTCTCTGGAAACGATTCATTGACCCTTCCCATCCCCGTCTGCTCAGCCCGCCCCTGCAGCCGCCCCTGTCAAGATCCCCCAGCCTCACGCGCCTTCCGGGAGCTCCGCTGTGTGAAGGCCACGGCCGACCACCACCGCCTTCTCCAGACCCCTCCTCTGGGCCCCGGCGCCCCTGCCCGCTCTCCCTCCCTCCCCCAACCCTCGGTACCCCTGGCAACAAGCCTGCCCAGCGGGCTCTGTGACAGCTCTGAAGCGGGACGCTTAGCGGACAGGGATGTGAGACCAAAAGCCAACAGGGGGTTCACCTTCTGCAGCATGATCCGTGTCCCCCCGAGCAGAGCGAAGAGCGAGGGGCGCAGGAGCCGAGCACCCCGTCAGCGAGCGCGAGGGCCTCTGTCTGTTTTATGTATTTGGCGAACTCTTCCCGATGCTCATCGTTAAGCGGAGCGCAGCTCAGGCCTGTTGTGAGGGTCCAGCTGATTTAAACCAGGCGTATCCTAAACATGTCGAAATCTGTACAGACAGGGAGATTACGCGGTCTGGGCCCGGCCGGGGGAGACCCCAAGGAAACCTGACTGTGAGGGAAGTAGTTCTCGTCTGCTGCATCTTCTGCCTTCCCGCTTCTCTCCCTCCCTTCCATATTTATCAGGAATCTGGTGGCAAAATCCAGCTTGAGCCGGCCGAAGCCAAAGAGAAGCGTTTGTCGAGGAAGGAGGCAAAGTGGGCCCTCGGGTCACCTCGAAGATCTCTCCTTTCTGCCCTTTGTCACAGCCGAGGAGGGCCGTGTTTTCACCGGGCGGCATCCTCCTGAAGCAAAGGGCCCAGGCTGGAGAAAGCCCTGTGAGGAAAGACCTACCTCATAGGGTGCTGTGGGGGGTCGTGAAGCGTTATCCTGGGTTCCACATTCACCCCTGGACTGGGGGTGGGGTGACCCCAGCAGAACCGAATGGTGTAAAGTACATTCTACGAAGACAAAGGGGGCAGACAGCATGGTCACTGTGCGCTGCACACCTGCGAAGGCCAGGACGTAAAACAACTCCCGACTCAGCGCCCAGACCGTCGTGATCTAGGCTCCATGCGGGGCCCTTCCCTGCCTCGCACCAGCCTGGTTCCCCAGATTCCAGACCCTCAGACGTCCGGGCTTGCCCTCCTCTGCCTGGGAGTCTCGTCCTTTCCCACCCCTTCTTTGCCTGGCGGACTCCTGCTCCATCTGCTACTCCCTCTGTAAGACCGCTCTCTCCCACTACGCTCCACCTACTGTGCGTCCGTTCACCCACTAAGACTCTGTTCCTGCCTGTGTGACAGCTCTCCTCACACTGGATCCCGTCTCCTCTGTCACCCCACCAGGCTGTAGTGTTCTTATTTATCTTTGTAGCCCAGCAGCTAGTACAGCTCCTAGCACATAGTAGGTATACAGGAAATACTTGTGGTGGTTATAGTGAAAAGGATACAGTACTGCATATTACAAAAGAAATTGCAAAATAGTTTTTAAACCTAAATAAACCCATACTTTGCTAACGTCAACGAAGATGTAGTCGATTGCATATGATCCAGTTAGCGTAAATAGAATTTTCTCCTCTTTCGATTTATCTTAGAAATTCAATATTGCAGTGTGTCCACGCCTCCTACAGCACTGCTTTTAATGGTTCAGTGTTGTTCTAAACTCTTCTTTGACACTTTAATGTTGACGCCTGGTCCTGTCACCTGCTAGAGAACCAGCAGGGGCAATACCTTGGATCCAAAATTATTTTCCCAGCGATGGCTCAGCCATCGATTCTGGACAGCGGAGCCCCGTCCCTTCCAGGCCGGTGATTCTCCCATCTCTCTGTAGAAGGGTGTGCGTGCGTGCCTGTTCCAGTGTGCATGTACACGTGTGCGCCCGTGTGAGCATGTGCCAGTGTGTGCACACGCCTGCGTGTGTGGCGGAGGAATGAGGGGGGAGGGGTGGCTCCACGTGCACTGTGGGGCGTTGTTCAAAGTCACACATCTGACTCTTGCCTGCCCGAATCTCCCCCTGACAATCCCTGGATAACCTGCGCAGGGGGAAGGTCTGCCCGTGTGAGCATGTGCCAGTGTGTGCACACGTCCGCGTGTGTGGCGGAGGAATGGGGGGGAGGGGTGGCTCCACATGCACTGTGGGGTGTTGTTCAAAGTCACACATCTGACTCTCACCTGCCCGAATCTCCCCGTGACAATCCCTGGATAACCTGCGCAGGGGGAAGGTCCTTAGGGAGCCTCAGGAAAATCGGGTCATCTGTTAAATAAGGGGGTTCAGACCTGGCTGCCCTGCAGCCTGGATGTTCACAAGTGACATATCAGTGCGATTCTACACTCAGCTTTTTGTTTGTCTCCCACAGAGGTCTCATTGCTAGCGGTTTCACGGAGACTCATTATCTGCAGGATGGCACTGATGTGTCCCTCACTCGAAATTACACGGTAAGTGCTGCAGGTTCGGCCCACCCGGACACCACGCCATCAACCCTGCAGCCGTTTCAGCCTAAGCAAACTCGCATGCCCAGCTCCTTCGCTTAGGTCCCAAGAAGACCTCGTATGTCACTTAGAGTTCAGGCATTCCACTGTTACTCCGGAAGACTTGACCTTGGCCAGGTATGTGCCGGGACAGTCTTCGGCGATGTGCCTTTATTGCAAGTTGACCTTGAAACCACCTTCCAAGGACTGTGGGATGCTCGATTGGGCAAATCCTTTCTAAAAATCCTAGCCAAAGTTAGAGATGGCTCAAAAAGCAGTTATCCCTGGGTTGAACTTGGCTGCATCAAACTTGGAAGTACCTTAAAAATTCAAAGGAAAACTGACTCTACTTAACCTTTAACAAATGTATTCACCAGGTGGATACGATCCTATATCATGGTTATTACTATGACATTTATCGCCTCTTAGTCAACTTTTCTAATATTTGAAGTTTTACATGTGACTTGAACAAGATGCTCATTTAATTTGTTCCTTGTTAAGAAATACACTCTACCCTCGGCCCTGTGGGGATTCGAAGAGAGTCGCTCCCTCTGAGGACTAGGAATTTTACTCATTTGAAGGAACTTTAGGTATTTGTTGTAAAAGGAATACGCTTAGAAGAAGCCTTTCCATTTACAGTGTTGTCAAGTACCCTCCCCGTCTGCGCTGATCTCCTCACCGATGCATTATGTCAGGTCCTGTTTCTCTCCCTCGCGTTTGGCCCATGGCACTTACCAACTGATAACTTCCGGCTTCCAGCAATATGATGGAATGAGCTGATGCAGCCCCCCCAGCCTGAAAGAAAAATGCACATAAATCCTAGGTACAACAGAAGCATCTAGAATTGATGCTGATACCTGGACAAGCTTAAAAGAGAGAGAGATTCCAAGGAGGCAGAAACAAAGAGAGGATGTAAGGCCAGAGCAATATATTGGTCATGAGACCCCAAAGAGTTATTTGGGCCCAGAAAGAGGACTTGATTTTCGGGGTTTGGGACAGAGGAGTGGATGTCTTTGAGGGTCCCATGGAAGGTGGGCCCCGGAGAGCTGCTTCCTTTGTGAAGAAGGAACAAGGAAAGGGGTAGCCGAGAGGACTGTCTGCAGGTGTCCCCGACAGAAGAAAGATTTCATGCAAAACAGAGAAATTGAAACCCCAGGCAGCCTCACAAGTGTAGTTTTGCATGGAGTGGGCAGGTGTGCAGATTTCTAAGACCTGCGTAGGGAGGCCATTCCAGTCAATAAATTGGCCTCAAATCTAGTCCCAAATCAGCAACCCTGGGTCCCATGGGCCCAAGCCGAAGCCAACCCCAAATGATTTTATAGAGATGTTCTGCAGCCCATGCCAAGAAAAGAAAAAGAAGGAAAATATTAAAGATGAGCCCCAAATCAAAATTATAAACCACACAAGGAAAGCCACTATCAGCAAGCATTGGTGAACAAGAGAAATGAGAATTAGCACCTCTGGAAATGCAAGATAATAGAAAAATCAGGGGGGGAAAAAATTACTTTAAAAAGAATAGAATAGGCCAAATAGAATTCCAGAGTAAAAATACAGGGAAAAAAAAAAAGGAAAGAAGCAATGTTCAAACAGATGAGAATGTCCCCAAATTGAAGGACATGACTCCCCAGAAGGAAGAAGAAAAATCGACCCACTCCAGGGTAGTGAAGCTGTGGGACCAACGAGAAAATCTTAAAACCCCCTGAGAGAAAAGACGGGTTTGTACAAAATGACTGTAGAACTGGAAGCTGACTTAGCAGCAGCAGCTATGGAGTTAAGACTTCAGAAAAATGAGGAAAATGACTGCCGTCTTCAATCTTATACTCAAATTATTTTACAAGGATTAGAGTGCAATACATTTTCATACAAAGACGAGAGAATTTACTACTCTGAGATCCCACCAAAGAATATTTCTGTACGAAGGAAATGAACACAAGACACAAGGGTAGGATTTTGCAGGCAATAACAAGCCGAATAATTGTATGTAGATAAATCCGAAAACGCTGTTTAAAACAGCGTTACAACAATAATGACTCAATTTGGTTGTTTTCAAACAAGGTGAGCAAATAGATTAAAACAGTTTAAGGATTTGTATTTCTCTAGAGAACAATAGAGGGGCTGATCAACTTTAGATTTTGATAAGTTTGTATCTTGCAAATTTAAGAATAACCATCAAAAGGGTAGAAAAACAATGTATAATTCCAATTAATAGAGGGTGAATAAAAATAGTATATCAACCCAAGAGATGATAAGAAAGGAGAAAGAGAATTTACAAAGAAGTAGAATAAATATAAAACAAAATAATAAGATAAAAATGAGTCAACATATTAATCTCATTGTACGTAAATGGATTAAATCTGTTAAAGTAAAAACAGATTATCTGCTTAGAACTTAAAAATAAAATTCAGGTGCTTAATTTTTGCAAAATTCACCCTCAAAATGCAAAATGGTTATCTTAACCCAAAGAAAGTTACCGTGGTGCTGTGAATATCAGACAAGCTAGACCTTAAGGCAAAAAAAAAAAAGACATTATTAGGGATAAAGAGAGTCATTACTTAATGATAAAAAGAACAATTGAAGAGAATGGTAAAAGAATTATAAACCTATATGTACCAGCAAAATAGTCTCAAAACATACAAAGCAATAATTGGGAGAATTGCAACAATAAATTGATAAATCTACAAACAGAGAGGGAGATCTAAATATACCTTTCTAAGAAATGAAGATTTTTTAAATGAGCAAAAATAAATGAAAAGGTAGACCAAAAAAAATTGAGAGAATCAATTAAACCAAAAGCTGATTCTTTGAAAATATGAATAAAATGGACAACACACAAATTTAATCAAGGAGGAAGAAAGAATTCCCAAGTAGACAATTTTAGAAATACAAAGAGCAATGTAGCTATTGTTATACAGAAAGTTTTTTAAATTACAAGAATGTTGTGAACAATACTAACCATTTTTTTTTCAATGTAAATTCCTAATGATGGTTCAAGGTGAAATAGAAAAATTTAAATATAACCATATAAAGAAATTAAATCAATAATAGTATTTCTTAAATCTACCCCAAAAACAACATCAAACCCAAACTATTTTATCAGGTGAGTTTCGTCAAACCTATTAAGGAACAAATAGTTCCTGAGAATTGAAAAAAAAATAATTTAAGGCAGGGAGAAAAGCACTACCAGGGTTAGAAAAAAGGCGTGCACAAAATCATATTATAGGCTAGTTTCAATTATGAACATAGTTGCAAACGTGCTAAGGTATTTGCAAACCATACCCGCACATATTTTAAAAAATACTTTATGACCAGATGGTACTTAGCTGAACAATGCAAAGATAGTTCAACATTAGGACATCTAATATACAATTCCGCATATTAATATCTTCAGATGAAACGTTTTATTATAGTTGCTATTATTTTTTCAATTATAATCTGCACTATATATTACATAGATTATAAGAGAGTTCGTGGGTGGGGAATATTTCTTATATCTCCCTTCTGCTCCCTTCTGCTCATGTAGCATCTCGCATACAGTAGGTTTTCAAAAAATAATTCATTTAGCCATTGCCACATGTTAGGCCAGCCGTCCCCAACTTTTGTGGCACCAGGAACCAGGGCTCCTGTGAGAATCTAATGCCTGGTGATCTGAGGCGGAGCTGAGGCGGTGACGCTAGCGCTGGGGAGCGGCTGCGGATACAGGTGAAGCTTCTCTTGCTCACCTTCCGTTCACCTCCTGCTGTGCAGCCCAGTTCCTAACAGGTCATGGACCGGTACCGGCCCACAGCCCGGGGTGTGGGGACCCTTTTTAGGTGATGCCATCCAGAATTCATTCATTCATTGCTCACCTTCCGTTCACCTCGTGCTGTGCAGCCCAGTTCCTAACAGGTCATGGACAGTTACCGGCCCACAGCCCAGGATGTGGGGACCCTTTTTTAGGTGATGCCATCCAGAATTCATTCATTCATTCACTCAGTAAACACGTATTAAGCACCTTCTAAGGGCAGACACTGTTAGGCTTGGGGATACAGGTTGAATGAAATATGCTCCCCGGCATATAACTTCTGCTGGAGAGGCGGGGCATTAAAAAGACTAAAATTATTCTGTTTTAATATAATTGCTACAATAAGAGGTATGCACAAAATTCCATCGGAACTTTGCGTAGGCTGGGATTAGTTTTAACTTGTTGAAGGCCATTTCACCGAGAAAGTGCTATTTAATCTAGTTCTTTAAAAATGGGTAAAGAAGAGGAGAAAGATCGATGTGAAACCCTTTTGTACTGAGGCATTTTGACTTTATCTTACTGAAAAGTGAGAGCCAAAGAAAGTTTTCACACAGGGGACTAGCACGTTCGGTTCTGTGCTTGAGAACGGGTCTCCAGTGTCAGAATGGAGAAAAGATTAGTAGGAATGCCAGTAGACAGAAGGCAAGGAGGTTCATCGAGGGCCTCTTGTCGTCGATGAAGCTTATGCCTCCAGAAGTGGACCGTGTGGTGGATGGAACTGGCCAGGGTCAAGAGAGCTTGAAGAGGCAAGGCTGGATAGTGAGTGAGGGGATTGTCACCTCTAGTGCTTCACTTCGTTTAGGCCATCGGGCGAGTGACCCGTTTCCTGCTGGCGCCGTTAAGAAGCAGTCGTTGGCCTTGGAGGGCAGAGGGGACGATGAGTACACGTGCGTCTCCATTGAGTTTGTAGCCAAGTACATGTGTTCGGTACAGTTGGATATGTGACTCTGGAGACAGGAGAAAGATGGAGGCTCGAAATGAACAGCTGAGGACCAGGCTCAGACTTAGGTAACAGCGATGCCATGACTTTCTTTCTTTCTCTTTTTCTTCTAAGATGATCTCATTTAAAATAGGCTTTTAGAGTTAGCGCTAAGGCTGTCCTCACAGTGTAAATTGTCGTTCCCAATAGAGAGAGAAAAAAAGAGACCCCAGAAAGACTGTGACAGTAGGCGCGGGTCTCCCAGGA